GGCCCTGAAGCCAATTTTGTCTCTGACAATGATTTTGACATCACCCACTTGGATGTGGCAGACTTTTTTGAGCGCCCTGATGAAAAAATAGACCACTTGATCGGTGATGGATCTATGGTTAAATATGATTGAGTAGTTTAATTTTTATTTATCAATTATTCTTAGTAGCTAGTGAATAAACATCATGTAACCATAGTTCTTTACATGAGTAGTAGCCATTAGTATTATTTATTTTATGAAATGGTATCTGTTCGTTTTGATTAAATAATTCAATAATTACTATTTCGTCGTAATGCAATGCTTATTTTTGTATTTTAAATTGGATATAACTGAAGAGGATTTCTTCCATTTTGTGAAACAACGTGCTAACTCCATTTCAGAGCTTCTGCTATTTTCATTAACGTAATGTGATAGGCAATTAGTTGATTTCATTGTCCGTCTCTTTCTGTATGATTTAGCAAAATTATATTACAGTTGCTTGATTGAGATGTTCTAACATTTTGGATGACAGAATAGTGTAAGGGTAGAACACGTGCAATATATAATAATTCCCTTTACAAAATATGTAAACATGTACGTATAGTGTTCTTATAATCGTATTATTTTTACCTACGTAATTATTTGTATCATAATTAGAGTTTGCTTGAAGTTACATTAAAAGCCAATATCGAGCTATTGATTTGACTTTGTTCTGAAAATACTAATGTTTGTTCGTATATTTCTTTTGTGTGTCAAATAATGGGAAGCAAATATGAATATCTCACAAAGCAAACTTGGATCAAAGTTCAATTATAAAAATATTTGTTTAATTGATTCATGTACGACACATACAATATTCAAAGAGAAGAAATATTTTTCTCATTTAACTATGTGTAAGGCAGATGTTACTACAATTTCTGGTAGTAGTAAATTATTTGAAGGCTCTGGAAGAGCTACTATAACTCTGCCTAAGGGAATAATACTTATCATAGAGAATGCAATGTTCTCCTCCAAGTCCAAGAGAAACTTGTTGAGTTTTAAAGATATCCGCAGAAATGGATATCATATTGAGACAATAGATGAGAATAATCTTGAATATCTCATTATTACCAAAAATGTCTCTGGCCAGAAAAGGGCTATTGAGAAGTTCCCATCTTTGTCTTGTGGCCTGTATTGGACAAGAATTAGTGCAATTAAGGCACATTCTATTGTAAACCAAAAGGTTACCGATTCCAATACTTTTGTACTTTGGCATGATCGATTGGGACACCCTGGATCAATTATGATGAGACGAATTATAGAAAACTCAAATGGGCATCCATTAAAGAATTTAAAGATTCTTTTAAATGATATTTTCTTGCACTTCTTGTTATCAAGGCAAGTTAATTATTAGACAATCACCAACAAAGGTTGGAATTGAGTCCCCTGCGTTTTTGGAACGTATACAAGGGGATATTTGTGGACCTATTCACCCACCTAGTGGGTCGTTTAGATATTTCATGGTCTTAATAGATGCATCTTCTAGATGGTCTCATGTGTGCCTATTGTCATCACGCAACCTCGCGTTTGCAAAATTAATGGCACAAATAATCCGATTACGGGCGCAATTCCCCGATAATCCAATTAAGTCTATTAGACTTGATAATGCTGCTGAGTTTTCATCCCAAGCATTTAATGATTATTGCTTATCAATTGGGATAAAAGTGGAACATCCTGTAGCTCATGTTCACACTCAAAATGGTCTTGCAGAGTCTTTAATTAAACGCCTGCAATTGATAGAAAGCCCGTTACTCATGAAAACGAGGCTGCCCACTTCTGTTTGGGGTCACGCCATTTTGCATGCAGCAATGCTAGTTCGTCTCAGACCGACAAATTATCATAAATATTCCCCGTTGCAATTAGTTTTGGGTCATGAACCAAATATATCCCATTTAAGAATTTTTGGATGCGCAGTATATGTGCATGTAGCACCGCCATATCGCACCAAAATGGGTCCGCAAAGAAGGTTAGGAATATATGTTGGGTTTGAATCGCCCTCCATTATTCGCTACCTCGAACCATTGACGGGGGATTTGTTTACTGCACGATTTGCAGACTGTCGATTCGATGAGACACTTTTCCCAAAATTAGGGGGAGAAGTTGGTGAAACCAAACGGAAAATTTTGTGGAAAAATCCATCATTATCTCATCTTGTTCCACGTGCCTCTATTTGTGAAAAAGAGGTGTAAAAGATTATTCATTTGCAGAGAATAGCAAATCAAATGCCAGATGTATTTATGGATATGAAAAGGATAAAAAATATCACATATCCCTGCGGAGAATGTTCCAATCCGTATTGATGTCCCTATTGGACAATCTTTTAGTGTCATAGCTAATGAGTCAAAAGCACGCCTGAAACATGGCAGACCATTAGGTTCCAAAGATCGAAATCCTAGAAAAAGGAAAATAAATGATCAAAATGACACTACGAAAGAATCTCATGAAGAAATCCACGGTTTAATAAATTCTGAGATTCATGAGGAATCCACTGAGCCCGAGACTCAAGAAAATAAGGAACTATCAATAAATCCAATCGATATTGAGACAAATTTGAATCAAGTGGATATATTGGTGGATTATGTCTTTGCATATAATGTTGCATCTAGCATTATGCAAGAAAGTGAGGATCTTGAACCTCAGTCTGTTGGAGAATGTCGACAAACACGTGATTGGCCAAAATGGCAAAAAGCAATCCAATCAGAGTTGAACTCACTTGCAAAACGTGAAGTTTTCGGGCCTGTAGTCCAAACACCTAATGGTGTTAAGCCTTTTGGCTATAAATGGGTCTTTGTACGCAAGAGAAATGAGAAAAACGAGGTACAAAGATATAAGGCACGCCTTGTTGCACAAGGATTTTCACAAAGGCCCGGTGTCGATTATGAAGAGACATATTCACCCGTTATGGATGCTATAACGTTCCGTTATCTCATTACTTTTGCTGTCAATGAAAAGCTTAACATGCATTTAATGGATGTGGTTACCGCCTACCTTTATGGCTCACTTGATAATGAGATATACATGAAAATTCCCGAGGGATTCAAAATGCCTAACGCAAATAATTCAAAGTCCCGGGAAATGTTTTCAATCAAATTGCAAAGATCTTTGTACGGTCTAAAGCAATCAGGACGAATGTGGTATAATCGTCTTAGTGAGTATTTATTAAAAGAAGGCTATATAAATGATGTCATTTGCCCATGTGTTTTTATAAAGAAAACAACATCGGAATTTGTTGTACTTGCCGTATATGTTGATGACATAAACCTTATTGGAACTCCTATAGAACTCCAAAAGGCAATTGATTATCTAAAGAAGGAATTCGAGATGAAAGATCTCGGAAATACAAAATTATGTCTTGGTTTGCAAATTGAACATTTGGCAAGCGGAATTTTTGTTCATCAATCTACCTACATAGAAAAGGTATTGAAACGGTTTTACATGGATGGAGCCCATCCATTAAGTACTCCGATGGTTGTTCGATCACTTGATGTGAACAAGGATCCATTCCGACCCCAAGAAAAGAATGAAGAGTTACTTGGTCCTGAAGTACCATATCTTAGTGCAATTGGTGCACTAATGTATCTTGCCAATACTACAAGGCCTGACATAACTTTTTCAGTTAATGTCTTAGCAAGATATAGCTCTGCTCCCACAAGGAGACATTGGAATGGAATCAAACAATATTGCGGTATCTAAAAGGGACTACCGATATGGGCTTATTTTATGGCAACAATTGCAGTCCCGATCTTGTTGGTTATCCTGATGTTGGGTATTTATCTGACCCACACAAGGCTCGGTCTCAAACAGGTTATGTATTTACCTGTGGAGGCACTGCCATATCTTGGCGATCGACTAAGCAATCAATTGTGGCTACTTCATCTAATCATGCTGAGATAATTGCTATTCATGAAGCAAGTCGAGAATGTGTGTGGTTGAGGTCTATAATACATCTTATTCGAGACAAATGTGGTTTGAAATGTGACAAACTACCCACAATTTTGTATGAAGATAATGCAGCATGCATAGCTCAATTGAAGGGAGGATTCATAAAAGGAGATAGGACAAAGCACATTTCACCAAAGATATTTTTCACACATGATCTTCAAAAGAATGGTGATATTAATGTGCAACAGATTCGTTCAAGTGATAATATGGCTGATTTGTTCACAAAATCTCTACCAACGTCAACCTTCAAGAAGCTAGTGTACAAGATCGGGATGCGAAGGCTCAAGGATGTGAATTGACGCTCTCATCAGGGGGAGTTAATGCGCGTTGCACTCTTTTTCCCTTACAAGGTTTTGTCCCACTGGGTTTTCCTTGCAAGGTTTTTAACGAGGCAACCAATAGGCGCATTTCTAAACATGTGTACTCTTTTTCCTTTTCTAGAATTTTTTTTTCCCATTGGGTTTTCTTTTAGTTAAGGTTTTAACGAGGCACATTATCCGTTGAATAGACATTCAGGGGGGGTGTTATAAATAGAATCCTATTTATGGTGAATGTCCATATTTAGAGAGATTCTAGGGTTTATTACTTGGTGACTAAGTCACCATCTCCCTATAAATAGAGGGTTCTATTCCATTGTAATTCATCCTAAATTCAATAAGAATTTCATCTCTCTCTTTCTCTGCAATATTGCTCTTGTTCTTTTATTAATTTATAACAGATATCTAAATGATTCTCTTAATAGATCGAATTATGGAACTAAACATAAGTATATACATTAATTCAGTTTTAACATTATATATGCTTGCATGGGAAGATTTGAAAGAAAATGGAAGGAAAGGAGACAAATAATTCTACATTAATTCATTTTTCGTTCTTTTAACGTAAACGTACAGAAACAAAGAAAAGTTTCTTCCTTTTATATGGTGTCCAAAACAAGACAAATAACAACATTGGCACACAACAAATGAGTCGCCTAAATTTACGAATCAACAATTATTTCCCCCTATTTCCTGCATCGATATTCCTAGTTATTTTTCTACGTTTTGATTTAGTCCATCCTCTTCCTAACTCACGTTCCTCCTCTCTGTTTTTCCTTCTAACTTCATTTTCTACATTAAAACTTCCATTAATGTTCCTATCTCCTATTTGATTAGAGAATTATAAAATAAGAAAAAACTGAGAAAAATGATTCCACAACAATGGACGCCGCCTTGTAACAAACAATGCACCAATAAATTCTCTGCTCTCACCCAAATTCCTTGTAATTTACTCTCTCCCTTTTTCTTGGAACCCCCACCCCCCACCCCAACAAAAAAAGTTGTTTTTATTTTGGAATGATATTTGGAAGACTTTGTTTATGGATATGGGAATTTTGTTGTTTCATGTAAAGATCTCATTTTTGTGTTAATATTTCCTATTGGAAATGGCTAGCTAGTTATTCAAGAAAAGAAATGAACAATAACGATTATGAAACTCATTTCTTTCTTGAGCTTATTTTGGCTAATCATTTGGTGTGTTTTGTGCATCGGACTGCTCTTAGACTACATCAGGCAGAAGAAAGTGCGGCGAAGATTTTCAACATACTATCTCATTAGTAGTTTCCTCTTTTTAGTAGTTTATTTCTTGGAATTAATGCATATTTAGCTTGAAACCACAACTCAAAATTTATGATGTGCAAATTTTTATAGGGAGAGTTTTTTGCAAAAAGGCGTGCGATGCTGATGGAGATACATGGGAGGAGTGTAAGTTCCAACCTTCTATTTTATGATGTGTAAATTATTCTCTAACAAAGCCAGCTTAAGTGAAGGCTGAAGACATATGGCCAATTGAACAAGCAATTAAGAATTCATAACTCAAATTTTCCAGAATGTCCATAATATGTTGCTTCCCTTTGTGATCAGTGTCGAAGCCAGGAATTTACTCAAGGTGTTCAAATTTGAAAGAAGTGAAAAAATTCTCCAAGAAAAAGTATTTAATATATGTTATATACCTCTAAAATTTAATATTCTCTATATACGCAGTGTAATTTTCCGACGCCCTTTGTAACGTATAGCTTCACCCATGTTTGTGATTGAACGAAAAGCATCTCCTCGATCGAGATGTTTATTTGAAGGATAAGTAATGGTTATAAGATGTCTTTTGTTGAATTTTGCAACCTCATGTGATTCTTCTCTATTGAATTAAGGTAGAATAGAAAATGAAAAATTATATGCAGGTTTGGAAGAATGTGAGGAGATGTGCTATAAGGGTCCAGTTCTGAAAGATCAACAATGGAGTGCTTATATTGATCGTGCCCCTGGTTCTGCTACCCAATCTGAGGTTTCCTCCATCTCTTCGGTTTATCATCTCAAATTTATTGTCCCTCTTATAGCCTGTTTGGCCAAGCTGCAAAAATCAGCTTATTTTGAAAAGTGTTTTTTTTCAAAAGCGCTTTTCTCAAAAGTACTTTTGGTGAGAAGCAGTTTGTGTTTGGCTAATTAGTTTGAAAAGCACTTCTGAGCAGCAATTAGTGTTTGGCCAAGCTTTAAAAAACTGCTTCTAAGTGTATTTTTCTCAAAAGTACTTCTCAAAAAAGTGCTTTTGGAGAGAAGCTACTTTTTTCTTCTTCTCCAAAACTGCTTCTGCTTCTCCTCAAAAGCACTTTTTTCCTTCCAAAAGCTTGGCCAAACACCTCAATTTTTGGCCAAAAGTGCTTTTGGCTAAAAAAAAAAGCACTTTTAGCCAAAAAAGCTTGGCCAAACATGCTATTAGACTTATTGTCAACATTTTTTTTCACTTCCTTGTGTGTACGACTTCAATAGAACTTTGTCCCTGTAGCAGGAGGGATGATAATGCTGAAAAAATTATCTAACAAAGGGAAAATAGTGACTGAAATTAAATGGCCAAATACATATACAGCCCATTCAATTTGGTACCATATTTTGGCACTCTATCTCTACCTTGTTCCATTTTGGCCCTCCAATTCTATTTTATATGTTTCATTTTGGCACTCCAGCTCTATTTCATATGTTCCATTTTAACACAAAAGCTGAAACCAGTGCAAAAAATATAGCGCGTGTGTATACACAAATCTGAGGTGTAATAAATATCCAATTAAATGTTGCCACCTGGTTTTTTCATCCATGACAAACGGGTCAATACTAAAATACCCGAACCGGATCGTATTTTTTCATCCACTGTTGCCCCGTCTTCATTCTCTAAGTTCCAAAGTTTTCATCTGCCGATTTCATACCTGGCTCGTTTAGATGAAATAAACTCAGAAAAATACGGCCGGGTTCATGTATTTTAGTATTGACCCGTTTGACATGGATGAAAAAACAGGTGGCAACATTTAATTGGATATTTATTACGCCTCAGATTTGTGTGTACACACGCGCTTATATTTTTGCATTGGTTTCAGCTTTTGTGTTAAAGTGGAACATAACAAATAGAGTTGGAAGACCAAAATGGAACATATAAAATAGAGTTGGAGGGCCAAAATGGAACAAGGTAGAGATAGAGTGCCAAAATGAAAAATGGTGCCAAGTTGACTGGGTTGTATATGTATTTGGCCAAATTAAATTGTAAAGAAGAAATTCCTAAGTGTTTTTACATCTTTACTATGTTGGCAATTGTCTGATATATATTGGCATTTGGAGTACAATTATCAAGTAAACATACATTTTGCATTTACTGTGCGTTCCTAGCTGCACATATATGTTATATACTCTTGTTATATGAATGCAGGATTGCCATCGTGCTTGTGTAGCTGGCTGTGGTTTCAAGGTCAGTACTTTGTCGGAAAATTTTATTTTGTGTCTCATACAACTTACACTAGTTGTATGAGGCAACTTTTTGTCTCACAGTTTTGTGGACCCAGAATTCTGTGGATCCAGCAATGTAAAATTGGGGTCCACATTTTTGTGAGACAAAAAGGAGCCTCATACAACTAGTGTCAGTTGTATGAGACACAAAATAAAACTTCTCTACTTTGTCTTATTTAAACCACTTGACAATTGTTGGTCCCTTTCTACTATTGCTTGCACAAAATTTCTCAACAAACATGGGATTAATTAGTAGAAATTTCTTCTAATTAATAGACTGCTTGTCATCTACATTTCTATGTTTCATTTTATTTGACTATTTACTGTTTATTATGCAGTTTGATATCCCATCTGAGAAAGTAAATAAAATACAATCAAGCAGATCATCCAAGCCTCTTGTAGAAGAGGAACCAACTGATAAGCACAAGACCACTGCCTGAAGCCAGTTGAACTATATATGGCATATATATTCTGGACATTCACATAAATCATAATGAAGATAATTTTGACATTTTCTACAATTGATTGTGCAATAGGCAAGAATAGCATATATAATAGTATATTCTAAGGATTACTACTTTAGTTCAAAGATTTGTTTTAAGGCAGATCACATGGGGTGAAAGTTGAGTTTATATACTTGGTTTAAAAGCACATGGAGGAAGTTTTTGTACAATTTTGAAACAAACAAGCAATCAAAAGATTATATCAATTGAAACAATTAGAAAGATTAATATGCTACTTATTTGAAAGTAATGCATTTTACTTGTACATATAAATATAAGTGTTGGTTTCTTTTTTTTTTTTTTTTTAGAGTTCAAGTTTTGTTCGGTGAGAGTGTATAATTTTTTTACAATGTTAAGTCGACCTACAATAATATTTAAGTCTTCGTAGCATATTTAATTTGGTAATCTAAAAAAAATTAATTAGTATAACCTATTATTATCTGTTAAATTTTACTAATAGTTTAGAGATTTTTTTACATTTTTAGTGTGTCTGATTTAAATCATATTTTTTATACTAATTCCAAACTTGTGCAGAACAAATTTCATGTGGGATTTCTTTTCTCCAATTTTTTCTTAGAAATAGTCCATCTAACATTCTTCTTTTGGTTTTCTTTTCCATCTTTGTTTTGATAGCTTATAATTTAAAAAATTTCCAAGTGATAAATCCGTTGCTAGACCATATAAAGTTATAAACCATTGATAACATGGTCTTTTGTCCGGATTTAAGTTGATTAGATAAGAAAACATAAATGATTTTAGCACGAAAGAGAACACAACAACTTTAATAAAATATACTTTTTGTTTTCTTTGAGCTAAATCTGAAATTCAAAGCTTAACTTACATTTTTTTTTAATTTCTATTAGGAGGATCTAAAGTGTTTTCACATTTCTCCTCCAGTATGAGTAATCTAACGGTTGTGGGTGGAGATGTTTTTACCAACTTAGTACATTGCAGCCGTTAAGCATCAAAGTGCTTTTGGGATTTTTTTTGTTTTTGTTTTTTGTATCAAATAATTGACTAATACTCCTACAGTAGAAAATTACTTTTTTGTTTTGTTTTCCTAACTCTATTTTTCAGCGTTCTAAATGCATTTATTTTCTAATGCACTAATCAGGGACTGTTCTAAAAAAATGTTTAACAACTTTTTTTTTCCGAAAACACTTCTGTACGGTTTTTTCTTCAAACCAAACACCATTAGAGATAAGTTTTTTCTATTTTTGCAAACAAAATAAGAAATACATCTGGAGCAATTTTCCAGTTTCGCAAAAAAATTTAAAGAAAAAAACAATTTTTAGTTGAATAAACTTTTCAAAATCTTTTCGAAAAATTGTTTTCACATGTTTTTGAAAACAAAAGCTTCTAATTGTCATAAACGTAATTTATGAAGGGAAAAAACAATAATGAAATAATTGTAAAAATAGTACGGTCTAGCCAGTTTTCGGACCGGTCATTCAAAAATAGCCAGCGTTTACCAAATCAATGAAAAATAGCCACCATTTTGCTGCAACAGAGACCGGTCCAGCATAATATACTGGAGTTCGGTGCACCTGTGTATGAACTTCCAGCATATTATGCTGGAACTCCAACACACGAAAAGTTCCAGCATAATATACTGGAGATTCGAGCACTTGTGTATGAACTTCCAGCATATTATACTGGACCGGTATACTTTGCTGGAACTCCAGTATATTATGCTGGAGTTCTAGTGTACTTATGCTGGAACTCCATCATATTATGCTGGAGTTCCAACATACTTATCCTGGAACTCCAGTATAATATGCTGGAGTTCAAGTATACTTATGCTGGAACTCCAGCATAATATACTGACGTATTTTCCGAGTTTTGAACAGTGTTTTCGCTCAGATTTATCTTTACATAAAAAGTAACTAGATTTCGATTACTTTTGAGATTGTACTATTTTTGAACGGCCACTTGTAAATCTGACTATTTTTGAATTACTCCCGAAATAATTCCACCCTCCATCTTGAAGACCCAAATATATTTGGGCCTTCAAAGCTTCAAAATCCAAAGCAAACGCTAGAAAGTCCAAGAGCAACTGGCCCAAATCGCAAGAATCAAAGAACTTTTCGATTTTCATCGCTTGAGCTTGCTCAAGTTTACTTCATAATCTGCACTTTTCTTTTTCATGATTCGTATGAATATATTGGCGAAAGTACCATAGAATAATCAGAGTTAAACCCTCGGTTGAGAAATTGAAATTAAAAACCCTAATTTGATCCAAAACAGAGATTGGGAACAATGCCACAAGTGAAGATAGTGGCCAGGAATTTCATGGACATGGTGGCTTCATTGCCTGCAGTGAAGCTCGACATGCTCTACGACAATTCCTTTATCTGTGAAGCCATCCTCAGGTTAGAGTTTTTTTGTTGCATAGCCATTTTTATATGTGCAAACTTCGGTTTCATACTGAGTTAATCCTTAATCTTGCCGTTTTTATTTATTTTTGCAATTAAAATTAGATGTAATCTTCACAATTGTGTTTTCCAATGTTTGATAAGTAATGTGTAAGTTTGTATGCAAAAGAAATTTGATTTCTCTTTGGGCTTATTATTCTGGAGAAATGAACTTCAAGCTAGTCACGAGTATAATACACACAGAGACAAAATATATAATGTTGAAAAATTTGAGAAAAATATTACTATTACTCATTATTTAGTTCAGTGGTTCACCTTGGGCTATAGCAAGGAGATACTATGGGAATCGACAAGAACTATGACTGTGGATGCGATTGTCTTTTTGAATCTGATAAAATGAAGTTCTACAAAGAGAATGTATATCCAATATTTATTTTATTCATTTCTTTTGCCAGATCGTTACCTCCCTTAGCAAAGAAGTATGTGCTACAATTGTTGTATATAGACATACCAATCTCGGCCAAGTCAATGGAGGAGTCGGTGCTTCCAGATGGATTCTCAAAGCATAAAGTTGCCATTGATAGATTGATACAGCTGAGGGTAATGACGGAAACATTTGACAGGTTATTGAGCAGATCCTTCTCTTTCTTGATAGCTGCTATTCTCTTTTCTTGATTAATGCTGTTTATTCCAATTTTAGTAATGAAAGTGGTAGTTAGCCTTTGCTGGCAATTGCAATACTTCCTGTCCGGTAGCATAGGGGGGTTGGAACTTATTTACGAATCGATTTTCTGGAAGTTCTTGAGCATCTGATGGAGAAGGGATCACTATCGTGAATATATTTGTAATATGCGTCTCCCAGAGGCTATCGTTATAATGAAATATTTACCTTTTTCTGAAAACAGAAAGTACTGGAGTGCGCTTAAAACAAGCTGTATAGGCAGCTTTGTATTCACAGATATTTACCTTTTTACTTGCTCTTTATCTTGTTTTCATGTTTTTCTCTAGCACTCTAAATGATGACATGTGAGCTAGTTTGGAACCTTGCTCAAAATAATCATGATCAAAGGGAATATCTTGAAATGCCGATGCTTGCTTAGCTTTATTTTGTTTTCATGTTGCAGTTTTTGCTTTTATAGGCATTATAGAAGTTTTATTTGTTTGTGTCATGCCTCAACTGTTGCAGTAATAGTTTCCTCTTCATAAGTTATAGAATTGTAGGTTATTGAAATCGTGCCGCAACTATTGGGATGATAGTTAACTGGTCAGGGCGGTTTATTATTTCTTTGCTGAAGACACCGTTAATCCCCAAGTTCAAATTCAATTTAATTGGCTCTAGTTTCTTGTCAATTTTCACTTTCTTGTTTTAGTTAGTTTTTGATTGTTGACCGCTGCCATTCTCTTTGATTTTTACAGGAAGAAGGAAGCCATGTATCAATTAAGTCCAAAATTTCAATTTAATCTTCAGAAGCATATAGTCCATGGGTAAGCTTCCTTATCTTGTGTATTTTATTTTTCTTTAGGTAGTCAACGGTTTAAAAGGGCCTTCTTTGAGACTACTGGTTTAAAAAATGAAAGTATATGCACAATTAGATGAATTACTAGCCCATGGGCAGTGGGCACTTAAATCATGCGGACACCAGACTCCATTCCTATTAAACGACCAGTTCTAACAAGAATAAAATTATGAAATTCTAGGTAAGAAAGATACATGTGGAACAATAAGGAAATAGTTAAACAGAGGAGCACAAGTTGCAATAGCATCTACTACAGTTTTGCTTTCTTCTGTTGGTTATCACAGTGCATTGNTACGTAACTTTCGTTAGTTAGAACGTAATACTTTATTTGGTTTAGTTTCTACGTATTTACGTTTTTTTTTTCGTTTTTAAGGTAAGGACGACTAGTCCAACTTACGTAATAGTAGATTAAGTAATGTACTCTCTCTCTCTCTCTCTCTCTCACACACACACACACACACACACACATACACACACACAAAGTATATCTCTCGCTCAAAGGATCTCCAGTAGTTGGTCATTATTGGATTAGGGAGTTGTGATGAGCTGCTGTCTTTGAATTTACTGCTATGTTTTAAAGTAGGCTGACAGTTTTGTTGGAGCTTATAAGTACCTTCCAGTCATTAGAGCGCAAGACTCTTACTTGTGGTTTTGGGGTTGAGCCAAATGGTGTGTGACCATTATTATTTTCCCTAATTTGTCTTAAAAGATTAATTATTGCGTATTGGAATAAAATGTGCCCAAATAGAGTTGAATAAATCATTGTTCTTAAAGACTCGTTTAAAGCGTGCTGAAGCTCGGAGAAGCCCAGTTATGCTCTTCGCTTAATCGGTGGTTTGGGGTAAGCGTCAAGGTGCTAAGGCATGTGCAACTTCACCAATGGGTTCTGTTTTTAACGGCACAACTGCGAATATATAGCTTTATTGTAGTTTTCCCATTCTTATTGTTTGTGTGTATAGTTACATTTTCTTGCATTACATTTCTATATTTTTATTTTTCTTCATGGTGCTTCTAATACTTTTTATTTGTATACATAGCATCTAATATTTTCTATTCGTATGTGCATAATATTGGCATGCGATGAGTTTAAATGGAGTGACGTGGTCAGCGATGATTCATATAGCCGACCCCAACTTGTTTAGGACTGAGGCGTGATTGTTGTTGGCGCCTGCACTTTAACTGCACTTTTCACTTAAAGCTCCAAAGATTTTGGCTCTTTTGGAATTGAGGCATACTGTTCAGCGTAGAAGGAAAAAGAAAAAGAAAAAACTATTTTGGTGTTGAGGCATAGTTGTTATTGTTGTTGTTGGATATGTATCTTCCCAGTTGTGTATATGTTTGTCTTATTCGTGCTGTGTGACTGGCGTCTTAATCTTGTCATGCTGCAATTCAAAATTCAGCTTCAATTTGCAATTCGACCCTGTTATATTGACCCTTGGTTAAACTAGAAGGCGCTAGACTTGATATAGAGATTTGTTGTGGTAATATTTTCTACTTTGACGGACATGTGTTTTCCAATTTTTGCATTATTACTCAAAAAAGGACCAGAAATTTTCTGCTGGAGCGTTGAATCCTTTGCCTTATTATTTACGAGACTTAGTGAATAAGCTCCTGCAAAATTATTCAATATCTTCAATAAATTTGTTTTGAAATTTTCTTTCGTTTTTCGGAAAAAAGTGAGTTGATGTGAAATATTTCTTTCATATCCTTGATCTGTAAGTTGAAAAATTTTGGATGATGACTTGTGAGTTCAATTACTGTAGTGGAGTCTTACCAAGGGAACCAATGCCTTCTAATATCACTGTGAGGCTTCCTAGCTTGGAGGAGTTAGAGGCATATGCTGTTGAACAATGGGAGGTATGAATTGCATTATATTAGTAATTCTTGTATTTTCATCTTGCTGGAGAGTTCAGAATATGTAATAATATGTTGTGAGACGATCTACTTTGCTCTCCATCTTGATCAATCTGCAGCTTGACTATAATTTTGGCAACTCTTTTTATGACTTGCAACTGTGGCGACCAGTGCTTTCTGCTGCATCTTATAAGCTCCAGTGAAGCTGGAAAGACCACAAACATAAGCTCTTCAATGATGAAAGTTTTCCAGCGTGGCCTTTTAAGTCAGAGGTACTTTCAAGTGTAGTATTTTTGATAAATATTGCACACACACATATATGTATAGTGCTTTGTTCATGTATGATTGGAAGATTTTTGTAATAATTGACATAACCGCAATGAGTTCATGCCTTCTTAAGCAGAGATGACAGGGAACCTCCAAGGTTGACTGAAAGTGGGTTCCAGTTCCTGGTACGAGTCACTAAATTATCTCAGTCAATCAATATCTCATTTGAAGTTCTATTGACCATCGTGTATAACAGCTGATGGACACAAATGCACAGCTTTGGTACATCATCAGGGAGTACATAACAAATGCTGAGGTAATAATTCTTGATGTTTTATTCATAGAACTCGTTTAACCTCTTTTCTCTCTCTCTCTCTCTCTTCTTCTCTCTTGTTAGCTCTTTCATGGAAAACAGCATTCATTTTTTGAAACCCAATTACATTTAATAGTTGCTTATACTTCACTTCGTCGACAAGTGTTCTGAGAGACATTGAAGATAAGGAGGTAGGTGGGAAAAGTAATTTCAGAGCAGATTATTCTACCTGCCAATTTAGGGAGCTGCTCATTCTTGCTGCCTATTCTGCATATGTAAGCTTCGCGAAGCATAGCCAGTCCCAAGCTCAGATAAAGAAAGAGGGTTGCGGGAGGTTGACGTCCCACGTAAAAATAGTCAAACTTTGATGAATCATTTGAATACTGAAGAATAATGCGGAATGGATACATTCATACAGGGGGTTCATATAAAATTCATATAATCTAAACTTGTTTGGGATTGAAACATAGTTGAGTTGAGCTCATAGCTTCCACCTCTGAGTTTACTGCTCTTCATCTCATATTTTTATTCACTCTTGCCTTTTTCTAATGTTTCCTTTATTTCTTCACTATAAATTAGTCAATGCGACCAACATTCTGGAATGTATTTGCTCTATTATTTAAGATCTTGGTTGGAAAGATACTGTGCCTATGACCATAACGTTGAATAGATGTTGTGTTTTACTCAAATTCTGTAAATGACGACTTATGACATACATAATTATTTACACTGTATTTCTCATAATAATGAAGGAGCGAGGTGTGGATTCAGCAGATCTTATTGCATTCCTGTTGGAGCTAAGCTTTCATGTTACTGGCAAGGTATTACTAGACAGAGCTAGCACATTTTGGACTAATTTTGCCCCATAACTGTAGTAAATGACACCATCCTTTTAATTATGAATGTATGGATTTTAGTTGGTTCTGGAGCACTAAGTTCTGCTAATATTTATCCTTTTTTTCTGAGGATGCTTGATTTTTGTATTTTTTTGAATTATATAGGCATACAATACAAACACATTAACTGATATCCAGCGAAGTATAACTAAGGACCTTTCAGATTTGGGACTGGTCAAGCTGCAGCAGGTGAATACTACTAATTGCCCCATCAATGGGCTCACCAGAATGAATGGAGCTTTTATTTTCCATGATGTTCATGGAATCCTATTTATCTATTTGTTGTTTTTTAGGGAAGGAAAGAGAGTTGGTTTATTCCCACCAAACTTGCCACCAATCTGTCAATTAGCTTAGCAGATACAACGTCCAGGAAACAGGTATGATGCACATATAAGCATTCTCTAGAGTGGTTGGGTCAAGCTACATAGCAGTCCATTTTTATTTATTTGTTTTCCATCTTTAGCATTACAATATTCTTAAAACGGCAAATTCTGAATCAGAAATTTAGAATTTTGTGCTTCCTGTCATCCAGATTTAAGTTCTCGAATTCGTTTTAGTAATGGTGGGACGAGTTCAATGATACCTTACTGGCTGGAAACACATCTATTGATTTCCTTCCTTCCCCCTTTCATCAGGGATTTATCGTTATTGAAACAAACTTCAGGTTGTATGCATATTCAACATCAAAATTACACTGTGAGATCCTACGCCTCTTTGCAAGGTACGCGGTTACTTTCTTTCATTGCGTATGTTTGTTTCTGTCCTTTGGTTGGAAAAAAAAAGAACATAAGGGAAGAATAGGCGCCAACTCTCTTATCTCTTGAAAGTATTAGCATCTGTTGTTTCTTTTTGTTGGAATTGGTAAGAATACCATCACGGCCTTTATGTGGTGGATTGGTGCTCGTCAAGAAATGCATTACTCTTTTGAATTTTTAAATCTATGTGCTACGCCTAATACTCTTTTTGGCTGTTGAGTGTTGATTTTCTAGTAGTAGATCTCTCTTCTTTCACTTTTGTGGTTGAACTCTCTTGAGTAACAAAATTTAGCTGCAAATACAGGGTGGAGTACCAGCTTCCAAATCTCATTGTCGGTGCTATTACAAAAGAAAGTTTGTATAAAGCTTTTCAAAATGGCATTACTGCTGAGCAGGCAAGTTTCAGCTGCTATTTTGTTTATTGACAAGCATTATCTTATTTTGGAGTCGACTAATTAAAAAATATCTGAGAAAGTGAACTGTATTTGGAGTGCCATATTTTATGTAAAGCAAAAGGTGAAGGAGGTTGATAGTGCGGGACATGTTTGTCAGAGATTCTTATTAATTCTTTATCAGCTGCTATTGCTAAAGAAAAAAAAATCTTGATTAGCTGGTCAATGTTGGTAGTTGTTTAATAGCAGACCTCTGAAGAATGTTTCTCTTATAGTTTTGTGTCTGGTCCCTCAATGTACTTATCTTGTCTAATATTATTTACATTGGTGCACCTTTCTTAACTAGTACATGCTTGAAAGCATGTGAATTACAGGAAGTATTGTGCTTCTGGTGCTATATTCTTACCGACTTCTGAATTTTAATTCTGTATGAATTGAAACGGTTAATTATGAAAAGTAGAGACCTTTGGTTGTGTTGATCGGTAATGTGTATTCAAGTTCCAATTATCCTCATCTATAGCTATCAAATGTATTAGGTTAAATGTCATGTTGAATGGTTTATCTTTATCCCCTCCAAAAAAAAAGGGGAACAAAAAGTCATGATGATTTGCCAAATGTTTCAAGTAGAATTATAAGGTATTATATCTTGACGTGGTTATAATTGAGCAGTTGCAATACAATTTTTTCACTTGGAAGTATTTGACTGCTGTGGTGCTTTGCAGATAATTTCTTTCCTTCAGCAGAATGCCCATCCTAGGGTTGCAGAGAGGATACCATCCGTGCCAGAGAATGTTACTGATCAGGTTTCTCTTACTATTTCAAGCGCATTGAAATTGAAGACGTTAAAGCTCTAGTAATAAAAAATACATTTTGGTTATTTGATGGATGATTACTGATTGGACCCCATTTATTATTTAGACTGATTCATTGGTAGAATATATTCTTGAGTAGTATCACATTCCCATCATTGTGGCCAACCAGAAGCTGTTAAACCAATTCAACAGTATGTCTTCATTGACAAATACTGATGAAAGGATTATTAGGAAAACAAGTTCTTTTCAAGTCAACTAATTCAACTACTACTTTCTCATGCCAGATTAGATTGTGGGAATCAGATCTGAATCGGGTTGAGATGATGCCCGCCCACCTCTACGATGAATTCCCTTCTAGAGTGAGTGCCAAGATATTTGTTATTTGCATTACAAACTTAATTTTGATTCGTTTTAATATTTATGGCTATATGACATGATTGTTTTTGTTTACATTACTGTAGGATGTCTTTGAGGCTGCATGTGATTTTGCCAGGGAATATGGAGGATTACTGTGGGAGGACTCTAAGCAAATGCGCATCATAGTTAAGGCTGATATTTTGACAGAGATGAAGGAATTCCTTCGTCGTCAAAAGCAATAGCTCATTATTTTTTGATGGCCTTCATTTTATACGGCAAGGAAGATTGATGAGGGTTGTTACTGCTAATATTTTTTAACTGGTTGCCGCGCTGTAGATGAATTTTGCTGCGGGTGTATCTTTTTATTGCGCTTCAGCTGCCTTCTTTCTTATTAAAAATTTGGGGTTTAAACATTATTGAAGAAAAGTGCTGTCGAATGATTGTTGGTCAACCTAGATTAGAAATATCTTTGATCAAAGGAAACCAAAAATGCTACATGATATTACAGATAATCTTTCCCTTGCATATGCTCTTTAATGTTGGCAGTGAAATGTTTCCAGTGACAAATATATTAGCTTTTGGATAGAGTTATAGATATAACAATACTATGATTTCATGATGCCTATTATTTCTTCTAAGCATCAGATGCTTAGATATTCTAGACTCTGTCAGTGGTTCCATCGTAGCGGTAGTTATGAAGTAAAACCCAATTCTCCCAATTAATATTCTTTTTTTTCTTCTTTGGTAGCGATTGCATGCCTCCTTTTGAATTATACAGGAAGAGGAGGAAATTTCTTAAGAGAATTCACACACAGCTAAATAAAGAAAAAGAAAGGAAAGGTAACCTAAAAGAACCTTTTCAATCTGTCAGACAAAACATATCTGTGGCTTGGGCTACGATGAAGATGTTCTCTATCTTTTCCATTTATGTCATCACATCATATTTTACTGTGTAAGCTAACTAATTGCAGTCAACAAATACTATATCTACATAGAATCATTTGACAGTAGCATAATTCTCGAAATAGACAGTTGTTATCTGTCCACATATTTGGCAACCAATTTTCAGGTTATACAGAAACAGCAAGCAACTGATAATTGAGTAGGTCCTCCAACAAAAGTACAAAGAATAAGCTCTTTCTTGGAAATTTCCTTCTTTTAGCCTATCTACCTGGGAAATTCTTGCATATCCTAATTTCTTACAAATCAAGACTCCAAACAGTTATAAATGTAACAAGTATTCTCTATCATGCATTCCTCAAAGTTATCATTTCAAACGTAAGAGCTAGAGCTCTTCTAATTTCCCAGTCAAGAGAGTGAAGAGTTACTCTTTAAAGTACAAGATGGTAAAACCTGTGAAAGTTTGCCTGCAATGGTCCCTCAAGCTCACAAATTTAACAATAGGATTTCTGGGTACTGCAATGCTTTTCTATGGTATATGGATGGTTAGAGTTTGGCAGCGTGATGCTGCGGACTCACATTCATCCCCTGATTACGATCATTTCCCTTGGTGAGTTCTCAACTTAGTGCTATTACTTTCACAACCTAGTTTGTTTATTCACTTTGACTACTGGCATAGCCTGAAATTCTCACAAGGAAATTCAAAGAAATGTAAAAATGTCACACCTGAGATTCAAACCTGAGACCTAAACTAATTTTTGAACCACCTTTGCCTCTACACCACTAGATACTTCACTTATATCAAGAGGATTCAACTATTTGCACAGTATATCTTTCGGTGAAAAGGATTAAATTGTACTCCCTTTAGACCATGTAGCTCTGCCCCTAATTTTAACTCCTTGCCTATAATACAGTCTTAGGCATAAAAGAAATGCTAATACTGCTGAAATCATGACAGGATCATCCATGCATTTCTTGGTATTGGCACTGCTTTGTGTGCTATCACTTGCCTTGGCCATGTTGCTGCAATCTCTGCCAACTCCTTTTGCCTCTCTTCTGTATCCTTCTTCTATATAGTTCTCATATATGCTCGTAGGAAAGAAGCTGCATAGAAAGAGATCAAAAGAATGGACCTTAACAATAATTATAGTATATGTTCATCATATTTGTGCTTCTTCTATCAGAGGTTGCAATGGCAGCTGATGTTATGTTGAATAATGACTGGGAGAAGGTATGCATCTAAGAAATCTTTATCATATTATTATTCAAGTTAGCTTTCTGTATTATATTGACAAAGACATCGACAAAAGAACCTCGTTGCTTCTCTCCAATGTTCTGATTATGTTTTTTTTTTACCTAATCAGGATTTACCAGAAGATCCATCAGGAAGGTTTGATGATTTCGTGGAGTTTGTGATATCGAATAAGGATGTATTCCGATGGATTGCCCTGTTTAGTGTTCTAGCACAGGTAAGAAAAAACCCCTTGAAGAAATTTCAGTATCTTTTTGCTGTCTGAAGTTATGTTATGTGGTTCTTGATCAAAATTTTTTGATAAGCAGGGGTGTTCTATGCTATTTGCTACAATGCTAAGAATTATTGGGAAAGTAAAGAAATATAGTCATGAGAATGAAGGTGAATATGCAGAACCATGGGCTCCACTTCTGCGCCCACCGGAACTGCCACCAGCTACAATGTATCCACCATATGTTATTGGTGAACCAGTCTACAAGGGTGTATGAGTTTTGGAAGAGAAAAGGTTAGATCCATACTAAAAATGGGAACTCTTGAAAGTTTTTTTGGCTTTTAAGTTATTGAATTTTTCCAGTTTTTGCAGAAGCTGAAGTGTATGAAGCTTTCCTCTATGGGAGGAAGGTTGCTGAGACAGCACTTAGTAGCACAACTCAAATATTGAATTTGAAGTTTGGAGATTGGGACTAAGATATAACCTGCCTAGGCAGTTTAGCTAGGAATATTGGTTATGCTATGTAGCTTCTCCAATTGCTTAAGAATGAATTTTATAGAAATAGATAAGACCACAATGTATATTTAATAGTACCATTTTGCAATTTTGATGTTTTCAGTAGTATTACTTCATTTATCACAATGAGTTATATTTGCCGGATAATTGAATATTTGTTTTCATTCTCAATAAAATATAAATATTGAATATTGAACAAAAAGAAGGAAACAAAGAAAATGAAAGAGCTAACCATCTCCAATGATAGATTAATCTGAACTACTAAAATAATGGGGGGAAACGCGGGTAGAAATAAATTGTTAATCCTTGATGTCAAAGAAAGTTTTCTTCTAGTTCCACTTCTTGCTCTTCTAATTCAAAAAGATTTGTTGGAATTTTTTATAAACCTTTTTATCTTGGCCTAGAAGTACTGGAATACCACTTGTGGCTGGAAGAGCTGAATGAACAGGGTGACTCACATAGCCCCTACCATGTCGAGCTGCAGCTGGGGCACAAGCACCAGAATAATGGCCAGACTCTTGAGACCTCTTGGCCTATCTCTCATCGCTCTCCCGAGCAAGCATGCCCTCCACTCTCCTAGCAATACTCACAACCTGCTGATACGAGATATCCATCTCTAACTCCCTGGCCATGCTAGTCCTGATGTTGGGATGGAGTCCCTCAATAAACCGACGGACCCTCTCTCGAACTGTAGAAACCAAGGCTGGTGCATGCCTATCCAAGTCACTGAAACAATCATAGCACCCTGGCGCAACTGCTCAGACTCCCGCGCCATGCGTCCCTGAGGCTATGAGGGACATACTCTCTCAAAAACATGTCCGAGAACTGAGTCCATGTAAGTGAAGCTGCCTCAGTCGGACTGTCCAACTCATAAGAAGGCCACCACTGACAGGCTGCTCCTCTAAGCTGAAACGCAGTGAAAGAAACCCCACTCGACTCTACTATGCCCATAGTACGGACAATACGGTGGCACTCCTCTAGAAATCCCTGAGCATCCTCTAACGCTAGGCCACTGAATGTAAGAGGGTCGTACTTCTTGTACCTCTCGAGCCTATGCTGCTCCTCCTCAGAAACTGCTGCCCTACCCTCTAGCTGAACTGGGGCTACAGGTGGCACCGGTATAACCTCTGGAATCTGATCAACCTAAACCCGCGGCCGGCCATTCGTCAAGGCCCAGGAATCCGCTGGACATCTTAGCGGCGGGATTTGATACCCGCATCCGATCAAAGTTGCATTTTAGTGTTCCCCTAACATAAAGGGGAGCTTTTTCTAAGTGGGGCACTTTGCGCAAGACATTGTTGCTCTGGGGTGCGGGCGGTGGGAGTCTGTGCTCCTCCCCCGGCCTGAGATGTGGGTGAACCCTGCCTGAGCTAGAGTACCGAACATGCGCAGGAACTGGGCAAGGGTCTCCTAAAGAGCTGGTGTAGTAGTAGTAGGCATCTCCGGTGCCTGCGCTCCGACTAGAGCTACTGGTGGCTCCTCTGTAGCAGCTCGCTCGGGTGCTCTGGCTGCACCACGTGGGCGTCCTCGGCCTCTACCCCGGCCCTGGCCTCTGGCGGCTCTAGTAGGGGGCGGATGCCTGGTCATCTCTGGCTGCACGTGTTCTCACCATCTATGAGAGAATAGAAGACAGAAGTTTAGAATTTTGAAGTCAAGAATTTCGCACGACAAGGAATCCAAAGAAGTGAAAGTTTTCCTAACAGTTCCATAGCCTCCCGAAGATAAGTACAGACGTCTCCATACCGATCCGCAAGACTCTAATAAACCGAGTATCATGATCGTCCAATAAGAAGGGTTTCAATTTTTTCAAATGAACAATTTGAAGACCTATTGATTCTAACAACTGATTGCAGAGTTGATCATTCGGACCTTTCAATTCATAGATGTAGATCTCGGACCTATGAATGGGGATATTTCCGAAACTCACACAGAAAAAAGGAAGTGAGTTAGACAAAAAGAAAAGCAACTTGGACAAAAAAAGAAGTGACTTGGACAAAAAGAAACAAAGTGGCTTAGACAAATCTTTTTTGTCGATAACCTCAGACCAATCAATCGAATATTGATTAATACGTAATCGATCGAACACTACTTGAAAACGGCTCTTCTGCTCCGAAACGGACTGTTCCAAATGTTCCTGGAAATTCTTGCTCCCATTGGACCATTTGTATCTATATGCTTGTGACTCACGACACCTATGAACCTAGAGCCTTGATACCAACTTGTCACGACCTAAATTCTCTCTCCTTGAATTTGTCGTGACGGCACCTAGTCTCTACGACTAGGTAAGCCTAACACTTTGCGAAAATGAAATGAAAAACATGAAAATTAACAACTAACAGTAGAAGATATTTCTAAAATAAGTAATTGAGATGTCGCTCGGCATATACAATAATCAATTCTCGAAATATACATAACACTCCCAAGACCCGGAACACCATAAGTCACAAGCTTCTACGAATTTCTAATTGTTCTATACATCAGGGTCTATAGAAATAAGGGAAGAATTAACATAAGGGGATAGAGGGGGACTCCGAGCCCTACGGACGCGACAGATGTACCTTGAAGTCTCCTGAAAAGCAGTAACCGCGCAACTAAATTTGAGGCTGGTAAGAGGTAACTGAATCTGCACACGGAAAATATGTGT